GCCTCGATCTGCGTACCCTATACAAATCGATTCTGCCACTTCCGATGACACCCATGGCCATCCACCACCTGTCATCTCCCATCATCTACACTACCATCCTAATGTATTAACATTACCAAAAAACAAGCCAAGTTAGCACGCACAATGAGGCAGTAGCGCCTTTTCCAATTTTAGGGGTCCTACGTCATTTTTCCACCAAATTGCCGCTATTCGAGCATCCAACATCCTCATACAACCTTGGGTGTGCATTCAATTGATTCAATTAAGCCTCCAATCGATCCAATTTTTTCAAATCAATTCTGTCCCAATTCGCTTGCCTAACGTGATTGTCGTGTCTTCTTCAATTGATGGATCTTACATCATTATTCAAGCCAATTACCAACAACAAAATGCTCAGCACTATCATACGACCATAGGTGTGGAACCAATTGAAGCAAAGTCAGCCACCAAGAAAGAGGAAAAATGCCACGGGAATAATCATCGCAACTTTTCACTTCACCGTCCACCTTGATATCGTTTCTTGAAGTTCTATCCTAAAAATAAAAAAAATAAAAAAAAATAAAAAAAACTTTGCACTAGATTTGAGAAGAATGAATGCTCAGAAAGATAAAACCTGTTAAGGATTTGATGTGCACACAAGTTGTTTGAGAAAAAGTCCAAGAAAGTTCAAATTTCTAGTAATGAAAACCAAGGTAATCGTTGTTCAATACAGCCTTTGGCAGTCAACAATCATCGTTGAGACCACCTTCGGTAGCCATTATAGTCGGTTACCTGTGGTAGATTCGAAAGTTCTCACAGAAGTGGATAGTAGCTTTGACGGCGGCGAATGAGCACAGTTGTCCCTTTTCTCTTCTATTTCTGCTATAAAGGTTATTTTACATACCTGAATTGTAGAGGACGTGGAACTTTCGACTGTGACTAGAGGTAGAATAGAAGAATGGTGAGGATGTTTCAAAAAGGATTAATCTTGTTGTAGGTACATAGGGGTGTCCATCATAGGGGTACATAGGGGTGTCCATAATGGACACCTGGCACTCCCCTATTGGAAAGGGCGTCAGTGGGCCAGGCACTCCCTCCAATAGGGGGATGCCGGGTGTCCATAATGGACACCCTTATATATCCCCCTATATATATGTAGCAAAGTCTTTTCAAAAATATTGTAGTTGGAGGCAGAGCTTAGCTGTTGCCGGTAATTCTGAAAATATTATTGGAATGAAATAAAAAAGAGAATATGCCAATATTTCAGTGGAGTTGGGCCAATATTTCATGTAAATTGAGCCCAACAATTTATTTTCATTGGGCCATTTCTATTGGTAGAGAATTATTGCCATTTGGTCTCTTTAATGGGCTGCCATTCAAATTGTGGAAAGTTGGGTTGATTTATTTTCATTTGGGCCTTATCACTCTTTAGCCCGTCTAGGTTTATGGCTTCGATTGGGCCTAAATCTGGTCTTCTTCACATGGGACCATAAATGGGGAGTTATTATCTTCCTGTTCAGCACATCTTTTGGATTCTTTTCCTCCTACTCGGGCTTCCACAATTGTTTCAAATACCTTGGAGGCTACACGTGCTCGTGCTCTCGAAGAACACCAATTCATCTATATCGACCTACAAAAATAATTATGGGTACTATAGCTTGGATAGAGGAATCGGTCAGCTCAGTGACATATAGATTGATATCAACAACTTATAAAAAAGGAAGCAATCATTTTAATTATTTTGCTTTCATTCCTATTTTCTTATCTCTTCATCATCATGCCTATAATTTCTTTTGCTCAAATCAAACTGGTTTCCATTTATCTAACACATCTGCCATTAATTATATGCCACATTTTATGAAGTTTTATGCTTGAGGCTTGCTTTAGTTGGGTTGCTAGCCACCAATTGCATTTTGTTAGGTTTGATATGAGTGGGCCAATTTCTTAAATTTTTAACAATGCTTACTATTCTCAGAATGTCATTATGAATTTGGCGTCCTGGATAAGGAAAATATGCATGAACTCCTTTGATGCAAACGACCCCATAAATTTTTACATTTATGAATGAGTTAGTGCTTAAAGTAATTTTAGAGTGTGTTTAAAGTTGGTGTGAGTAACATACTTTACACATGGCATGGTGGGCGATTAATTGCTTTGAGAATCATGCTCTTTAGGTGGTCGGTTTATAAATCGATTGGATTTAATAGCATATTTTAATATGATCAACTTAAATCTACATGATTATAACTCCTCTAGTCCATTACCTGATTATTTTGGAGGCATGTTGACTGTTCAGATCTTAAATTCAGCAGACAAAAACTTCAATACAGTTACTGGAGTTGATTGCGCCTCACTCGTTGCGTTTATTTAGGCTATCTCTGCATGACTATTTATTTTCGAAGCTGTCTCCAGGATTTATTTTCCATGTGAACTTGTTGGCTTATATACACAGTTCTACGATCATTGGCTCGAGTTTAATGAGGTCATCATCTGGGAAAAATAAATCTGCCACAGCTTGAAATGAATAAATATTTAGGCTCAAATAAGTGTTTTCAAGTGAATTACAGCAGCATAGGTAGACACGTTCTCATTTTGTAACATTTTGTTTATTCTATTAATAACAAAAAATATATTGCACCAAATAAACATACCAAACAAGAACTCAAAATCTTTAATGTAAGGATATAAACTTTTCGCATCTCTAAATACATTAAGACTATCACATGTTTCAGTCACGTACTTAAAGGCGACTTTTATTTTCGACGCTAGAAATCTTATTCTTATTATTTTAACACTTTAAACTAGACGTTCCCAATGCATTTGTGATAGTGCCTTAAGTTCGAACCTTTCACATTATACTAAAATAACCTATTATGTATGTATATCTTTTCAGTATAAGTATCAAAGACAATAAACAAAAGTTGGATAATTTGCAAAGGATTGAAAGGTCAAGTAAAAAATAAAAGAAACGACAAAAAGAAAAAAATAAATAGAACGAAGAGTCAACTTGAAAATAAGGAAAATAAACAAAAAGAGAAATCGTGAATATATTAAAAAAAAAAATTTCGCTTTGAAGAATATAAGACTTCCTAAAAAAATATATATTATTTATTGCATAAAAATATATTATATAATTTTTTTTTTTTTTAGGCAGGCCCTTACCAAGACAGTTTTTAATTGCTTACCCCTCCCGTAATCAGGATAGCCACTAATTATTTACTATTTAGTATCGTTTAATACCATATGAAAGTCAAACATATGGTTGAAGAAGTTAACCAGCTCTATCATCTCTTAGAAAAGGTTATGCTTTCTAGAAAAACGAACTTTGGGTTCTGACTCGAATCTATTCTGGACTACTCACTTGGTAATTCTTACTCCTAAGCTTTGTCCTGGTACAAGCACCTCTAAGCCTTGCCCTGCAAGCACCATTTAAACTTTGTCCCGTGCAAGCACACCTAAGCCAACTCTGCGCAAGCACCATTTAAGTCTTGCCATGTGCAAGCACCTAACCCTTACCCCACGCAAGCACCATCTAACTCTTACCCTCGTGTAAGCACCTTAGCTTTGACCCGCGAAAGTACCATTTAAGCCTTGTTCAACGCAAGCACCTCTAAGTCTCGCAATGCATCAAGTAAAAAAAACCCTGACCATAGGTCTATCCCGAGCTTGTTAAGCTCAACTTATTCTCAAATTCATTGGAACAGAGCTCGGGATATTATTTCACGCTGTGCTCGAGGGGCCTGTCCTCGAACTTAATTCATTGTCAAATTTTGCTACAAGGACTGGGGGTAACTCTGTCATATTGGGCTTGAAGGCCAGTGCTCGAGCTCAATACCTTGTTTGAAATCCTAGCCACAAGAGCTTGATATATTATTTCACATTGGGCTCGGCCTATGTCCTCGAGCTCAATTCATTGTCACACCCCAACCAACAAGCTTGGGAGAATTATATTTAGAATAGGATCGAGCTTTCACTTAGCCTCCTATATGAAACTTTGTCCATTGGTTGAGCTCATTCCTTTCAAAAATTTTCAAAAGCCTCGAGATCGAGCTCCTTCATTTCAAATTTTAAACAAAGCTTGAGTTAAAGCTCTTTATTTTCAACTTCTAAATTAGGTGAGGGTTACCACCACATCCTTTCCCGATAGACTCGAAGCTCTTCATAATCAAGCGTAAAGGTTAAGCCCTTACTTTCAAATTTTTTAACAAAGCTCGAGATCGAGCTCTTTTTCTAAACAAGGTAAGGATCAAGCTCTTTCAAAATTTTTAAAATAGTTAAAACTTGCTATCCTAGATCTATGTGTTCAAGAGCCTATCGACTTGACATGAGTATGCCTATTCTTGAACTTAATATGCTTATGCATCTCATGCCAAAAATTTCCACATTATGCATGAACTCTTGACATAGATGCACGGGGACCTGTGATATGCACAAAAATTGTAGTCCGACTCCGAACTTTCAAGCATGGCCTGAGGCGTTTAACCCGAGCATACATGTTTCCCAAAATCCTCATAAATGCAGTCTAGCCCCTCCCCTAAAGTCGGGCTCGTATGGTCGAGCCTTATTAAGGTCGAACCCACATTATCAAAATATTGCCCCTCATACCCTTATCTAGTAACTTTCACATGTTTTAGCCTTTCCCATGACTCAATTGTTCATCCTTATCCAAAATATGAAACATATTACAATCAAAGTCAAATTCCTAAATGTAATTGCGATATATCTCAATCACTATACAAGATAAGGATTACAAGTGGTTGAATGATTTTACAACTCTACCACTAACATCTATAAATACTGGATTAATGTTTATTATTAAGGTACGTTTTTACAATACAATTTCAGTACATACTTTCACATAAATTCCCCATCCGACTTAAGCATCGGAGGGGCGACGATGACACACCTCGTTGCCTTTTTTAAGTAGTGGAAGGCTTTGTTCGTGGATTCTCGACCCTCAATCTCGAAAAATCACAGGTACAATTTTTGGCATCATCAGTACTTATTTGAACACAGAAGAATACATGTATTCTAGATTGTGCACAATAGAAAGAGTACTCTTTCTATATAAACCTAGAGCTTCTTTCATAATTTGAACCCAAGCTCTAAAATAATCCATATTACAGTATTAGAATCCAATAAAAGCCCAAAAACTGTAATGCAGAAAATGCTGACCCAACTTTTCAAATAAAATATAGGATGCAACACACAGACCAGAGATTATCTACACACCCAAAATGCGGGGAATTGGTCTCCAAAAGAATCATATGTTGATTCTACAATGGCCTTTTTACATGGGACATGGGTGCCAGAAAACAATTCTGGCCACCATTAGTCTCTGAATCTTTGCCGGTCATCCATTAGACCAGCAGAGTATGAGAATTTAGATACAGTGAAGTGAATGAAGTGCCATTCACACGTTCCATTTCCTCTCTCAGACATTGACTTCTCTGGTGAGCATGACAATGCAAGACCTGCACAAGTTACAGACATCAGATTAACAAAGAAATGCCAAGCAAATGCAAGTTAACTTTCAAAGTTCCTTCCATTATCAAAGACACATCTCAATCCCGCTTCATAATTCATATAAAAAATGTAAGACTGATACAAGGATAATTTAACCCCTTTCTTCTCTTTCAAACGTGGATGAGCGTAACTGGTTTTGTTAGGGTTGTATTGAACTGTTTATTCGCCAAAATGTTGTGCAGAACATATAGAAAGTCAATATGAAGAGATCTTTTATGAACAATCAAATGCCTCAATCTTAAGCAAGAAAATTGTCAAAAACTCTTCACCCCTTCAGCACTAAACACTTTAATAGCCAAAATATTGAGCAGCACATGTAACACAAAAGATATGGTGAAAAAGAAATTTCTACAGCTGAATAAAAGGTTGTTGCAATAAAGGCTTAACTTCTTGATTTGTTGTTAATGTAGAATCGAGTGCATATTTGTTATGGAGTAAATAAAATAATGCTAATTAACTAGGTCACAGACGTACAACACCATTATTCTATTATAGGTTCTAAAAGAGCTCCCAAGTGTGACCTATAATCTGAAGTACCCTTGAGAGCATGTTTGGCTAAGCTTAAAAGTACTTTCAAGTAAATTTTGTTTCAAAACATGTTTAGATAGGATTCTTTTAAAAGTACTTTCAAGTAATTTTTGTTTCAAAATATGTTTAGATAGGGTACTTTCAAGTAAATTTTGTTTCAAAACATGTTTAGATACGGTATTTTTCTGACTTATAAGTACAAGAAGGTTATTTAGCCCTTGTTTGAGCCCCATTCTTTTCATAAGAATGAATTTTTGAATAGCATATTGATGAAAATTGTGTAATTAAAAAATAAGAAAAAGTTTAGAATATGCGTGTAATATTATTTTATTGAAGAATGTGTGGTTAAAATGATGTCAAAACACTATTTAAGAATGTATTTTTTTCAAAGAATGGGATTCAAACAGGGGCTCATTTTCATGGCGAGGTCAGAATTGCTTTCAAAATAAGTAAACAAAAAGATTATTTATACAAGAACTTGCTTATATATAAACTTATAAGCAAATTTTACAATATTAACCAAACATCAATTTAGTTTAAATTCAAGAAGCAAACTGTAACAGTCTCAAATATGTTGATGAATTCAGTCGAAATTAAACAGGCAAAAATCAATTATTTGAACATTATATAAAATACCTCTAGAATGCAAAATGAATAATTTGCAAGGCTAGATTTGAAGCCCACCACTCAAGTAGCAGTACTGCTGTTCTTAGTCCCGCTGCAGTCTAAGGATACCCGCAAAAGGAGGCATATAATCATAACAGAAGTATCTATCAAGAAAATCACGTGGTAGCAAGGCAAGGAAAAGAACACCAAAAGTGAACATGAAAACTTACCTAGATCAAGACCTCAACCAGAATTTGGGTCAGGACCGCTACCTTGCATGAATTGAGGAGAATGAGCAGGTAGCATGAACTGAGATTGCGGTGGAATATGTGCTGGGACACCTGATACAACCAACACATTACATTAGCCTCAGATCTTCTGTAGAACATATAAAATCGTATATGACATTTCAAAGACAACTTAGTACAGATTTCACGGAAGCTGGCCTGATTCTCCACGAATGTATACAATCTTTTTCACCAGAACATACATAAGCCCCTTCCCAACAAAAATATCCAATATAAACAGAAATGATGTGCTATAGAGGTTAGAACATTGTAGGCATTTGAAAGCTCATGAAGATACACAATTCCAATGGTCTTTCATATACAAGAAAACAAAATGTGTTCAGCAATAAACAGATTTACCAGGGAATGGTGTTGGAATAGTTGGAACAGATGTAGTTGTCACTGCATTGACACTGGTCCCACCAAACTGCATGATCTGGTTCCCAGTCATTGCATATCCTGGCAATGCCGAATAACTATGACTTCCTGGGCTCAACTGGCTGTAAGGATGCGTACTTGTGTTGACTGTTCTAGGTACACCATATATGTGAAGGTAATGCTGACTTCCATAAGGATTATAAACACCCTACAAAGAAAATGAAAAGCTATACGTCGCAATGACTTTATGCAAGTTTACTACCATCAAAGTACTAAGCAGCAAATTTTCCAAAGCTAAAGACCTGATGATAAGAATATTCTGGACTGTATGCAGCATACCTGCATCAATAGAAGGGATGGAGACGATAAATTTATAGAGGTTACCTGAAGGTAAAAAAATTGTACACCATGCCCATACGTTTTGTGAATATAATATAAAGCCCCTGTTTGCCCTCTATTTTAATTTTAATGCATTTTTCTCTTTCTTCTTTTCAGCCACACATTTTTCAATAAAATAATATTGCACGTGAACCAAAATCTTTTCCTTCATTTTTAACCACAAATTCTCCAGACAAAAAAATAAAAATAAAAATAACAACACTATTCCAAAATACATTTTTCCCAAAACCTCATTAAAATGAAGCCCAAACAAGGGCTAAATTAGATGATTCATTTGAAGCATGTACTCAAATAAAGAACAGAGAGGATAGATATGAAGATATGCAAAAAACCATTTGTCATATTATATTATGCGAAATACGTACACAAATAGAGAACAGAGATGATAGACAAGAAGAAATGCAAATAACAATTTGTTATATTATATCCTGTTGAATTATCTTTTCAGACCGCAAACTCGAAGTAATATTAAATAGCTCCAATGAAATATTGAACTATACTCTTTTGAACCGAATTTATATATATTAGCTTGACCGAGCACAAGTATTTAGGTAAAAGGTTGAAGAGTTGTGCTCTAATGTAGTTTTCCAATGATATTAATTGATGAGTAACAATGTAATGTTTAAGACCATATATGTTCAATTTTAAACATGTGAGGCGAGATTGTTTTATTAAGGGTCCTCTCAAAATAACTTGTAAAACAGAAAAAGGTAGCTTGCAAAATAATATTGAAAGGCAGCATATCTAAGAAAATGGATTTTAATTTGCGATATCCCGAAAGAAAATAAAGATGTCCAATTTCAGATAGAGTGTCATTTCCTTATCCAACCCAAATAATAAATCCAAATAAATCAAAAACTTAAAAACCCTTTCAGCTCTACTGGAGGTTTTCTCTTTGCTTGACAGTCGTCCCGTAGATATACCATAATGTAATATGCACAAAATCACATCAAAATTTCAGAAAGGCTTAATCCAAAAACTCAATCGATAATTTCTTATATCACGCTTTCTGTTCTGACCATATCCGTAAGTTCAGAGCCTAAATTCTTAAGAAAATAAATATTACTCCAATACCAGGTAAACATGCATGCTATTGCATGTGGCAATATATTTCCAGCACAAGGAAATTTAACCAAAGGAGATTATAAGAGAAGTCCAGTTTCACTTCTAATGATATCCTTAGATGTAATAACACAATACAAGTAGGTGCAGATTATGCATGCAAGAGATGCTGTTTATATATTGAACCTAGAACCAGAAGATGCATGCATATACTTGTTTATGCACATGACATGTCGATCAACACGCACAGAGAGAGAAAGAACATACACTTGTATGGGATCACCCTCTCATATGCATAGATAGCACCATCATCATATGTCTCAACTAAATAAGCATCCATTTGTATACAAATTTATTAATGATTTAGAAATACAGTCAAGGTTAAATATTAATTTCAACCACACGTTCATAACTACTACTCATTATTATCCACACATTTTATGGGACTCACAACTATTCTTCTTAATTAATTTTCCTACACAGCTGAACAATAAACTTCAACATTATAGATGAGCTAATTAGCATCATTCATGGCATCTACGAAAAGATAATAAAACACAATTCCAAATAACTCGTGGGTTAATAGAACTAGTATCAGCAGATACACACCAGAAGCTGAAATGTTTCATCAAAAATTATAAATTGACAAGATAGACTGAAAGGTATCTGCAGGTAAATAAGTTTATTTCAGACATAATAATTTGCATTCCATGCTACCACATGCAAATGTCAAATCATGCATGAACCAGAATAAGAAGCATGAAGTGAATAAAATACAAAACAAAGAAAATTTTAAATGCAATAGGAGCATCAATCCTACTTTGCATTATCAAAATGTAATTCTTGACTACCTCAGGGCATAAGCTTCAGGGAAGCTGAGACATGAACTGCCTTAGTCTTGCTCCAGAGTCATTTTAGCTTACCAGCCTCACTTTTCTAGATTGATTTTTCATAGGGAAAATCGTTTTGAGGGAAATTTTTGCTCTTAACAAAAACCAACCCTTAAAACCTAAAAAGGAAAAAAAATTGGGAATCACATAAGACAGAAAAGACAAAATAAACAGTCTTCATGTGCACTAGCCCTCTACTCCTACAACTGAAGATGCTCTGAGACCTTTTTTTTAAAATTCAAAGCAAGAAAATCCTTAAATAGCTTATCAATTGTTTAATTTTTTTTACACTTTTAGTTCTAATTGTTGTTCAATGGTCTTTTTATGTGATTACTAATATGTTAATTTATTTATTGCATTCTTGTCAATCCATTCTACGTTTATGGTTTGCAAAATTGACCTTATATTTTTGTTGAATCCTATTACAGATTTTTTAAATGGTTTTATTATGAATAGAATGTTGTACTCTATATTAAATTATTTTACTAGTTTATGTTGAGAATTACACCTCACATCACGAAACCAAAACATCTCCATGAGATATTTTAAACACTGGTGTGAATAAGATGCCAACAAACAGAGATAACTAGAAGCACCAAAACAGTCGCAAAGAGAAATGATAAAGAATTGAAATCCCATATAAATGATACATTCCTGAATTTCATTTACATATTTTCTTTTGTTTCTATAGATTCTAGGTATTCTCACATTCGGGAGCGAGAAGACATAGCAGTAGAAAAAATTTATGATGTGATGCTTCAGAAACGCCAGAAGTATGTATGCAGATCCAGTCAACCTTCACTATCTACAAACATATTCTTAACAGACAATGACTGATATGATCATAATGCATAGCTCACCCGTAGGGAGAATACACCAAGCCTTGTTGGTAGCCATATGTAACCGGCTGTTGGTAGCCAAAATTTCCTATATAAGTACCCCTAGCAGCTGGTTGACCTCCAAGGTAAGGTGCTGGTGATCTGAACCGTCCTATAAGCAACAAAATCAGGAAAAACATATTGTTGTAAACTAGTTTATTGAAATCTTACAGAAAAAGAGAAAAATAAGGAATACTTATCAATCTTTCAATCTTTCACATGATCCAAGTAATAACTCTATTCCGATTCATAAAAATGTGACAATTCCTCTGAAATGCCCCAAGGTACTTGTTCTATGCTTTGAGCTTCCTTATATATAAATTATAAGTATTACCATGCTGGGGCTCCATAATGATGTGAAATACCTCAACTCAAGTCAGTTGTCACTTGAGAAATTAGTAACAATGCAGAAATATCGAATTGATTCACAAAAATTACACCCCTAATATAAGTAAAGATTTTAATGGATTGGATCATTCTTCAATTGCATATGGTTGATAAGATTTAACCAATTTCGTTATTTATTTATCCAATTGGTATAATTGGAATAATGCACTTGTTAAAAACGCTGTGGGGGTGATGTCAAGAGATGTATTTTACTTCTCCAAGGAAATATACTTCAAGATATCATTTTTTCTAGTACAGAGTTCCTATAAAAAGAGGAAATGCCTAACTTTGAGTTCGGATTTAATTATTGGTTTACGCACTTGGTCGAATTTTACATATTTCTCAAATTTTTACCATCATCTTTAAAAAAAATCTGGAATAAGTTCTGAAGTATTATTGCAGGATAAAAAGCATGTACATGAACGTACAATGACACGATTCAACGTAATATACTTTAAACTGGAAACAGGAGAAGATAATTACATCATCCTGTTTACAAAAGTTCACAGCCACAGCACAAGTATATTTCCAATCTAACATCAGGCATTTTGCACAAGTTAAAAATAATTTTCTTAATAGTAGTTAGTACAGCTGTTCTCCGATCAGGATTAAAGCACCAATAAGTTATATTGCTACAGATGATACGCATATAAAAAATTAACAGCAAACAAGCACTATTTGTGTGGCCAGATGAGGTACATTACCAAAAGGAAGTGCTGGCCGAGGTCGCCCCAGGGAGGCCAAATTACAATTTGCTCGCCTTCCATCAATGATTGGAGTTGGATCAGCACATGCTCTTCTAGCTGACTCGGGGTCCCAGAAAGTCACCTAAATACTCCATACAAACATCATTCCCCCAGTCATTAAATTGTCAACCATTCCATTTATTGCATAACACATTAATAACAGAATCCCGCATTGGAGAAATAAAATATTTCGAAGCATGAATGTTGCAAACTTTATACAAATCTAACAATCAAACAAAGCAAATTCTACAGACTTCGATAATAAAAATTATTATTCAAGGAAAAGATAACGAGATAATACTCACAAAACCGTATCCTTTGGATCGGCCTGTGTTCTTATCAGTAATGACTACGGCTTCAAGAATCTCCCCAAACTGCTCAAAATGCTGCCTCAAAATCTCACTTTGCGTTTCCCAGGCTAATCCTCCAACAAAAACCTTAGTGAGAGTGGTATCCACATATGGAGAATTCATGTACAGAAGTCCCCCCGGACCCGAACCTGAGTTTGGACCCGGGAGCGGCGGATGCTGTTGATAAGCCATATCACTGAAATTGCTCAAATTTAACCAGACTTTTTGTGGGGAAATTGAGTGTCAAAGAAAGGGGGTTTAATTAATTATAAAAGCGATAGCAATATAAGTGGTACTGAAGTTGATACAATGAAGAGAAAATATCATTATAACAGGAAAAACCTAGAAAAAGAAAACCAAAGAGAGTGAAAAGGGCATTATTATTATTATTTTAACTATTTATACATGAAAATTCGGATGAAGAGGAGAAATATGAGTTTGAAATAGACGACGCGGCATAAAGATCAAGAACATAGCACCTAAACTGTGAAAAAGGAGATTCAAGGAGCAAAAGAAAATCCAAGAATTGAGGTGGAAAGGGAGTAGAAGTAGGACAAAAAAAGGGAAGTGGGTTCTGACAGAAGTTTAAGAGAACAGAATAAGAACATGTATGGACTACATGGGGTGGTGGGGAAAAGACGAATCATTGGACGAAATTGTTGGTTTTTTTCCTTTGACGATGAAGAATTAATCCGTAACAAAAAATGCTATGTAATATATACATGGAATTAGTTAACTATGGAATTGAGGGATTTACGTTTGAAATTTGATTTTTGAGAGAGGGAGAGGGTGGTGGCGATGGAGAAAGATGATCTGGAAATACAGTCATCATTCCTCCTCCTCACAGTGTGAACGAGCAAAAGGAAATCGAAGTTTGGGGCAAAAAATTGGGCGGCCCGACCGGGCAGCTCTGGGTCCCACTCCCTACCTTGCTATCCTCTTGTTAATCGCCCCATTTGTCCATTTAAATTAAATTTTATTTTTTAATCTTATTTTCAATCACACAATCTCCTATTAAATAATATTATACGCAAATCGAAAATTTTTCTTTCTTTTTGAACTACCCATTTTTCCAAAAAAATATTATTCCACATATTTTAATAATGGGGCCAAACAATTTTTTTTTCTCATTTTCATTTGAAAAAATTGCACATCGAGTTTCCAGCCTCTAATTATTAATTTTAAAAAAAAATCTAAATCATATTTATCCCTTGTTTGAGCCACATTATTGGAATGAAAATACATTTTTGAATAATATATTGATGTGAAATATGTGGTTAAAAAATAAAGAAAAGTTTTGAATTTACGTGTAATATTATTTTATTAAAGAATGTGTGGTTAAAATAAAGTCAAATCACTGTTGAAAAATGTATTTTTTTTTCAAATAATGTGGCTCAAATAAGGCCTTAAAATAAAAGAAATAAGCAAAATGGAACAGAAAATTAGAAGATTCTAATCTCGCACCCGTCTATGGAATATCCCAACTAGGGGTAGGCTTGGGTTAGGTTGAGTCTTTTTTCCCCAACCCAACTTGATCGGTTTGATGAAAATTTAACCCAGCCCAACTCGTGTAAAGGTTGCAATCGGTTTGGGCAACTTGTCAATGAAGATTAAAGTTATCCAATTTTTGGGTCTTGATGTCTTCTTAATACTTAATTTAAATAATGGAATTTGGTTTGTCCTTCCATTGATCAAAATGCAAAGAAAATGAGGAAGACAGTCAGATAATTACACACCAAGACCAAATCAAAAAACACATATAAGATGTTTAAACTAACATAGATGATAGAAGAGCAAGAAGTTGGCATAAAAGATAAAATAAATTTCACCAACCTGTTACCACATTCAAAGTTGGGTTGTGTTTTGACTGAGGAGAGGAAAAGTCCTTGAAACATCATTAACTTTGAAAAGTATATCCTATATTGAGAAAGAATAGCACAGTTTAGAAGAATGTATCTACCAAAAGTAGCTCCTTATTCCAAATAGAAGCAACATAAATTGAAAAAGATAAACTTTTTTATTAATGTCCAAACATAGACTGTGTTTCTTCATTTTTATTTTTTTTAAGGGAAAATAAGCAAAATCAAGCATAAACTTCAATTGTGGTCTTACAAGAACCATAAAATTGAAATGGAACTATGATTACCAATAAATACCCCAACTTACTAAAGTAATAAAGCATAATCAATTGGTAATTTTTCTACAAGGTCTTTAAAATCTACAAATTAATCATGCTTCAACAAAACTTTGAGTTTTTTATTTTATTTTATTTTATTTATGTTTTCCATCTTTTTCCCACTACCCAATTCCTTGGCAAATCAAACATTGCACAACCGTAGAAATTCATCCACATAAGTCAGAAAAATATTACAAAACATATGAATTATTAAGAATAACCAAAACAAGAATAAAAGTCATAACCTCATTTTCAAATACTATATGAAAAATTTAATCCACGTATAAAAATAAATAAATAAATAAACTCACCTTAGTTAAAAATGGATCTATCATTAGGTGCTTCGGTCCCCTAGCCGTGGATGGTGGTGTGGGAGACGGACGGTGTATATTGGCAGCGAGAAAGGCGGAAGAAAAAAGTTGCGTTTGTGATTTCATGCGATGGATTGGAGGAGACTAGGGTTTTCTTTAAGGGGAAATGGAAATGGAAATGGGAGGGAGGAAATACACGTTTTTTGTTTTTACTTTTCAAGACCTTTTTCTATATTAATTTTCCATATGGGTCGGGTTGGGTGGGTTGGGTTCGGGTTTATAGGGTAAACCATAACCTAATCCAACCCGACAAAAAATGGAAAATAATAACCCGAACCCAACCCATTTCATTGCAAAAACTGACCTAAACCGCTCGATCGGTTTGGGTCGAGTTGATCGATTTGGATCGGTTTTTGCCCACCTCTAATCCCAACACTCCATCTTCGTCTCTTCCTATTGTCATTCTTAATGATTATGAAAAATGTTAGATGTATACTCTAAGTGTACATCTTTATTGACATTTGATGTGTTTTAAGAAAATAATTGGAGTAACAAAGGAACTGTTTTGTTTTTAAAACTGTCGAATGATAATTCATTTTGTGACAAACTGTCAAATTTGACGATTTATCCTCTCTATATATACTATCCATGTAATTATTAACATTCAACACATAATAAATGAAAAAAGGATCAAGTCCAGAAATTTGCAAAACATTGACGAAATAAAAGGTGCCTTTTCTAATGTTGGGGATAAATTATTAATAGGCTCTGTAAGTAGGGAACTAAATGTGAAATTTTTCCTCTTAGCTTTACGAGTTCAAACTTTTATAATATAACTGCGTAGGAAAAGTTTTCTTTTTGCCTCTATTCGGTCTCCATTTTATTCAAAATGTAATTTTTTTCTTTCCACTTTTTAACTATCATTCTCCAATAAAATAATATTATGAGCTTATTTGAGAGTAATTTTAAGAATTGATTGATTTATCATTAGGAGAAAAATGAGGTTCACTTGTAAAAAAAGAAGTCAAATATGACGATTGGAATAGTGAAATAAAGGTCAAAAAATTAATTTTTTGGGGGAAAAAATAACTCTCAAACAGGCTCTATATATAAATTTAAACTTTTTACTTTTTTTTAACCACACATTATTGAAAAATCATTATTTCAAAATACATTTTACCCTAAAACTTCATTAAAATGGAGACATGAACAAATGAAGTTTGGGACAGATTTTAGTTGAAACATATTGCAAATAAAAATAATTTGGAAACAAGTTTATGAATTATTCTGAGCAGAAGTATATACTCAATAATTATGAAAATACATCAATTTTTGAGTCCATACCTCTCCTCTCCGGTCCTGTGGCGAGGCGGATGAGGCATGTGCCGCAAGGCGAAAATCAAAGGGTGCCTATTTTTGGTGCAATTTTTTTTTTTTAATTCTTAAAGGAAGAAAAGGGAAAATCTGTTTTTCATTCTTACCTTTGTCTTGTCTCTGCTCGACCTCAACATAGTCACGTTGAGTCACTGACGTCGTGACTCCTCCAACTCCAACTGGACTGGGGACCCCTCATTTCCTGGGGGTTCTATCATTGGAACACCACCGGTACAGTCTTTCATACATATCAACTCATTCTTGTGATTTGTTAAGATTTTTGTTTTGTGGGATTTCGGAAAATGCTGATAATTCTTACTTATTGCTCGTATTTCTCTCTCTGAAGTTTAGGAGAGTATATTTAGATACAAGGAAACTACGTTGTTTTTGAGCATTGTGTGTGTTTTGGGGAGTTTTGTTGGGAAAAATGGAGAAAAAATAGGGATTCTTTTCGACGTTAAAACAGGAGGTGGTGAGGGGGTTATCGCCCAGGGGGTGAAGGGTGAAGAGTTCGAGACAGAGTAGGTCTCCCATGACGGCTTTTCTTTGGAGGAAGAAGAGTTGGTGGTAATAGTAATCTCACGCCTTGCTAGCAGCTGCAGTGTGGGGGTTCGATTCCTGAAACATGGAATTAAACTCCTTGTAGGCGCAGTGTACATGTAACTCTCGTTCCCTAACCTGTTGGGGCACACCCGCGATTTACCTCCCTCACAAAACTCTAGAGGCGGGGCGTTGAGGGCCCTCAAGGTTAGAGTTCAACCTTAAGAAGGTGAATTTTAAGCAAAAAAATATAAGGTATAGTATTAGGTTTAGGTAATTTCTTGATTGTAATGGTTGTAGAATATTTGGATGTAGTTGTTGTGTCTGATTTATGTTTATTAGACAGTGTTGGGCTCCTTTTCAATTAGGAAAAATTCTCAATTTTATTATTTAATGCGGGTTTCTGATTTTGTTGGAAATTTCGTCAGCCCAATACACATTATAATAGTATCTAGCTGCATCAAGATGCCAAAAACTCTAGAATTCGATTAAGAATGCTTATGCAATGGGAAAGTTGAAGATGGTAGCTTCGGAGTTTGAAACTGCGACAAAGGTAGTGAAGAACAGGAACGTGGCTAGAGCAACAGAGTCCAGTAGCTTTGTTCTTTGGCAGATGAATCCTGACATGTGGTATGTGGAGCTTGTAGTTGGGGGAAACAAAGTCTATGCTAGCTGCAATGGCAAACTCGTCTAGAGGCACACACCCTGGCTTGGTGCACACACTATAAAGGGGTCGGTTAGGCCTTTGCGTCATGCTCTTTAGGTTAAGATGCACTTGAATCATTTATGATACCCCGTCTTCGCAAAATTGTTCTTTGCTGGCTTGATCTTGTGTAGACTTGGGTCTTGATCCAAGAACCACTGCCAGCATGTTTTCCAATGCCATTTGCATTGGTGAGAAGAAGATCATGAAGATAACTGCTTTATTCAGAAGCTCTCTATTGATCCACAAACATTGAGAGCTAGGAGTGAGAGAGCATTTAAGATCATAAGACGTGATTTTTTTGTTGTTTTAATGTTAATTTTTAAATTAGTAATATATTGCATAATACACCATTAAATTTTGCATTTACGTTGATTTTGGAGACCTTATTTATGAACTTCACTTTGAGCCTCAACAATCATATGACCGACCCTCGAAAAGGAAAAATGGAGAAAAAAATATAAACAATTGACTAGAATGCAATACAACTCAAAGGGATTTACGAGTTGACCTACCTATGAATAAGAGAATTACATATAAGTGGGATAAAACTTTACTTAAAAGTGTTATATTTATAGATTAATAAATTTAAAGTAAATATTATTTTTTATTTTTTTAAAAAAAGGTTTAAATTAAGCAAGTTTTTGTTTTGATATGACTTTTTATCTTATCGTTGAAATAATTAATTTTTTGACTTGTTTAAAAAGAATTTAGAGTTAAATTTAATTATAAGCTATTTTAAGCTTGAT